TATTTTAAGTTTATTTGACATAGGCCTACTGTTCTAAGAGAAAAAAATGTTTTGGTACTTAGAGAGCGTTCAAGTATTACGTAACGCAATTTTTGGAGATTTTTAACCCCCCCTCCCCCCATGTAACGCGCGTTACGTAACCACAAAGTGACTATTTTTACCTAAAAATCACAATTATGTCACTCCATTTGAAATTTTGAGAAAAAACGTTTTAAAGAATGCGTGAGAGAATCTCTCTACGCGACTTTTCTGAACTAAAAAATAATAATGTTACGTAACGCGTAGTTCAAACCCCCCTCCAGCCCCTGTAACGCATCATAACGTTTTGCAAAACACCCCTCCCCCCAAATTCGTTACGAAATACTTGAACGCTCCCTTATATCCTGGTAATTATTTATGATTTAATTATTTACGGAAAATACCGTCCAATGAATATTAGAAAGTCAATTAATAGTTATTTATGTAACCAGTTACGAAATGCCTTATTTTGTGTAACGAGTAAATATTTGCATAACGAGCGGAGCGAGTTCCCGCAACATGAACGACTTACACAAAACGGCATTTCGTAACGTGTTTATATACAAGATTTTTTCTAATTTTGACTTGATTATTTATAAAATTGTGTTGAAAAATGATTCACCATCATTCTTGTGTAGGTACTTCCAATCAAATATTTTAGAAAATTGTTGTATTTGATTGCTCTACGACGTTTTTTTTTTTTCAATAGTAATAATAAAAATAAGGGACATGTGCAGTGTTGCCGATCTAATTTTTGACATTACCCGCGAGAAATTTGAAAAAAAAAACATTTTTACCCATTATCCTTAAAGATGTACGTCAAAATTTTACCCCCAACATTTCTGGGCAGTTTTCAATAACGGTGTTATTTTAAAAATTAATTAAACGCAATTTACAGCTTCTCTTTTTTTGTTTTTAAACGTAATGTCATATTTTCAAATGTGAAATGTCACTATTCATTGCCTCTTTTTCGATATTTGGTTTTTTCGATTTTTCGTTTTTTGGATTTTTGGATTTTTCGATTTTTTATCATTAGATTTTTCGATTACTCGATTTCTCAATTTCTCGATTTTACGATTTTTCGATTTTTCAACTTAGAAACCAAAAAAGAGGCAGTTTTATTTATTTTCATTTCGTAACTGGTGACATAATCAACTTTTCGTAATCAGTTGCATAATGTTCTACTTTATGCAAATGTCCATATAAATATTCATTAAATTTATTTAAGCCAAAAATTAATGCAAGGACCTCTCTTTCAATTTGGGAATATTTTTGTTCGGACTTTGATAAGCAGAAGCTATAGATTTCTCAATATTTTTTTTTTTTTAAACATGACATATCATGGCCCTTATTCCCACATTTGATGCATCTACGAATAATTTAATCGGCTGAAAATGCACAAGAGCATCATTTATTTTTGATTTATTCCAAAGATTCCTTGCAAAAATTATCCCAAATCCATTTCACCCATAAAAAATTAAATAAAAAAAAGTCCTAAAGCAAAATCATATCCTCCTTCCTGTTAGTGACTTAAAAAAATTACTTCCCAAAAAACGGTCCTCAAGCCAGGTCCCTTCATTTTGTGACGATAGTACTGTTTTTTTTTTATTGTGATTATTTTCTTCGCGGAAACTTTGGCTTTACACTTAGAGTAACACTGTTATAGAGAATTACTAAATAAATAGTTTTGAGAAAACTATTAAAACCAGTTGTGAAGTTTGAAACGAATAAATTGGCAATGAAATTGATATTTTTGTATTTGATTGTATTTTTTTCTTTTCACTTCCTAAAAAAAGATTCCCTATGAAACAAGAAAGAGTAAACAGTTTATAATAATAACCTTTATTTGCTACTTATAACATGTACCAATGACCAAGTCCGATTCTGTTTATTTTCAAATCAACAAATATGGACGTCGACAGAATCTTTAAAAATCAAATATCTCACCGAAATAAATATAAGTTTCTTTTAACTCCGTCACATTTCGCAGGTTTATTATAAATAAAGCTTTTTACAACACATCTTGGCATTTTCAACGTTAATTTATAAAATTTAAGTCACTAAAATACCAAATTAATTCTCGTTGACACATTAAATTTGGATGGACAACGGTCTGACATGTGATGTTCTCAACTGTGATTGGTGGGTGTGAATCATTTTGAAATGGGATTATGCGCAGTGTCTTATGTTCCATCTAAGGTTTGTATAATCTAAGATCCGGACTCAATAGTTACAGGATGTTTATTCGCGAAACATTTACCAGACTATAGTTGGGGTTTTATTTCTATTGGCGTGGCTTTAAAGTAATGAATTGGTAAAGAAATATTATTTGAAATTATTTGCGCGTTTGGCAAATCAATATGAATATTCAATGAGTTTAATAAATCTATTCCTAATAGACCATCAAATATGCAATGAAATTTATTTACAAAAAATTTAATATCTTGTTTTGTTTAGAATTCTGGGAATGCCGGAATGGTTACTGAAACGTTGTTTGGAGGAGCTAAAAGCTGTTGAAACAACGAATGGTTCCGCTGTTTTAAATTTAGAAAAATATTTATCAACAATAGCTTCGGATTTGGGGGACTGTGTTCCTGAGAAATTTGGTAAATTATCGCCGGAAGACGAGTCGACGATTTCGTATTCGCATTTTTTTTCTGACAAAATCGTTGGAATTATCTGACAAATCGCAATATTCAACAATATTTAATACTTCAGACTAATATCTATGATTTTGGGGTAATTGATTTCTCGAATTGCCAGAGATTTGACGGGAAGTCGTACTCATTGGAGTAGGCCTAGGTGAATTATTTGCATTAAAATTAGGATTTAGTTCCCAAACGTTTTTTTGAGGTTCAAAGACCTGTCGGTTTGTAAAAAATCTTTGATTAGCTACTGATCTAGGTTGAATATTTAAAGGACCGGTAGGAAACGAACCTCTATAATTACTATTAATATTATTATTTCTGTAATGGCTAGTGCTGGGTTGATTAAAATTAGTTTGTTGATTATTATTAAAATTTTGATTTCTATTAACAAATTGAATTATATAATTTTAATTATTTTTATTAGGGTGATTCTGCCGATGCTGATTATTAGGGCTTTTTACTGAGATTGATTTGAATGCGCATTTTGCAAATATTTAATATTATCCTCCTTTCTTATAGAATTAATTGCTTCGAGCAGTGTTTTGGGATCCTAAGTACGAACCATGATACCATAAGGGTTTCTTAACCCAGCTAAAAATACTTGAAGAGCATGTTCGTTATATGATTTTTGTTTAAATTTTCTAATATCTAAATTATGTTTATGCAAACCGAGGTAATTTGAAATAGTAGGTATTTAATAATTTCCTGACCTTCTCATGAAATTTATTTGGGCTCTCGTTAGGAGCTTGCCTTAAATTATTTAAATCTAAAGATAAGCAATTTTCATTTTGGGGATCACTAAAATTCATAATCAGCTCTTCCTTAATTTCTTTAATTTTAGTACCCCCACTAATATTAATTACTTCGCGAGCGGGTCCATGCAATTTACTTATAATTGTTCTAAAATCATAACATTTTGATAGTTTCCAATATTTACATTATCATAAAAATGGTTAACTATGCTATCAATACCTTCTAGAAAAAATTGCAACTCGTTTTTGTCGCCATAAAAATCAGGAATGGTCTCCGCGTGAACCTTTTGAAAGTTAGGGGAGGAGTCATTGTTTGATTTAAGATATATGTCACTTTATTAAAATTATTTAGATAATTATTATCGTTAATATTAATTGAATTAAAACTTTCAATTACTAAATCTAGCTCTAAATCGGATCTGTGATCACTGAAGGATAGGGAATCGATGTTAGAGTAGTCTGACATGAAAGAAAAATAAAACTTACAGTACGCTTTTCGTTTGCATCGAAGGTCCGGCTGTCGTCTTAACCATGGAAGTCTCCAGTACAATTCTTTGGTAGCACCACAAAACTTTTCTCGCGATGGAAAGTTCAAAATTAGTGCGAAACATTGAAAGTTCGTAATTGTCACTTAACTATTAAAATATCGAAAGTTATCCACGTCGGATTCTTCATTACAATCCTACTGACTGCGCCAAAAATATAATACGATTTAAAAAATCGTTCTATAAAAAAAATATTTTTATTTAAACAACAAGTACAATATTTTTATGACTTTATTAATTGAAAGCAAACATCAGCCTAAAAGTAAAAAAAAAATGTTAAACACTGCCGCCTGGTGGAATTCTCGGAACTTCTCGACAGGTCAGCGGTTTCTATTATGTAATTCGCATCATGTCGGATAGCGTGGCGTATCTTAATGTCAGAACAATGTATATCTGCCTTTAGTATTTAATTTTATATTTGATTATTGAAACTGATTTGTTATGAAAATTGGGTTAAAAGGGTAACCAATATTTTTTTATTTTTCTGTACTTATATTGTTATTATGGCAAACCTATAATTAATAATTCCTAATGTGTGTGATTACCCAGACATGTCACTACCATCTCATTTTCGGGCTAAGTTGAAAATTTACCTTTTTTCTCCATAGTCCATAACCCTTCTTATACTGCGTTTGAAAAGTACCTTGTTTTGCTTTTTTTTACTCGATACCTCACTTTCTGCTTCGTTTGCTCCATTGATATGGTATGCTTGATGTCAGTGCCCAAAAAATCTACTCGCTTTGCTCGATGAGGTACATTTCAAACGTAGCATTAATATACCTACTATTTAAAGTAATTTCATTTTAATTTTTCAACTTTGAAACTGGATACAGGATAACAATCAAATTGTTGTGTCTTATCTCTGATATCGAAGTAATTGTAATATGAAAGAAGTCCCTGGAAAAATTGATAAAAAATATACATAATTATTTAGAAGATTAATATCTCTACAACGTATTTACAATTTGATAATGAAAAAAATAATTGAAAGTTAAGGTATATATATTGATGAATAGACTAAAATTTTATTTATCAAAATGAATTCTTTCTTAGCAATCTCGTGTTTTTTTATTTGTTTTACAACAACTATTGCATTTCCGAAAAATGGTAAGTCAACTGAATAAACAACTGATGTTTGAGAACATTGTATTATTTTATTTTTTGCAGGCACGAAACTTTGGTCCCACACATTTAAATTAGGCGAAAAAACGTATTTTGTAGATTTGAACGAAGTAAGTATATTTTTTCCAATGCGATATACCTACTAATTTTATATGAGTGAATGTAGTTTTAATTTCTATTATAAAAACAATTGAATAAGTAAAATCAAGAAGAATAATGAATCTGCGCCGCAGTATAGAACAAGACTAGACTCGAACAATTAAGGCCACGGTAGCACACTCCAATGTTCGTAACAATAACTAATTTTAAGCAATATTCCATGTTTAATAGTTCTTTTGTTCAACAGATAGTGTACTAATTCTAAACGGTAACTGTTATAATAAATTCATCACCACGAGCAACAACGCGATAGGTAAATGAGTTTTTAACCTTGAAAAATATTTTGGATGTAGCAGGTAAATAAAAGTTTTGGATTTAGATTCGGGACATCGGTATATTTACTTAGTAATTCAGTATGTGTCCAGTCAATAAAGGACAAAGGTCTTGGTATCATTACGCCCAGACAACACACCAAATCCCAGAGATATCCACAGAATATCTTTTGTGGATATCCAATATATCTAAAGGATATCAGAAATATTCCGTGGATCTAATATGGATATCCAAATGTCCGTCTATATCCAGAATATAGAAGATATCCTAATGGATATTCAGCAAAATATCTAATGGGTATCTTCCAGAAAATACAAGAAATCCCAGAGATATCCACAGAATATAGTTTGTGGATATTCAATATATCCAATATGGATATCCAACCAAATGTCCGTCTATATCCCAGGTTATAGAAGATATTCGGATATTCAACAAAATATTTTATGGGTATCTTTAGTAGAGGTTCATAAGTAACCAATGATTATTGAATAACGTCGAAACAAAAAAGCAGAGATAAAAAATATTTTCAACACTCTGCCTTTGATTTTGCCCACTAAGGAAAGTCATCCTTATTAGGACTCTTCAGCAATAAATGGAAGTTCTCGACTCCAGTCTCTAATGGAGTCTGCAGGACAAAAATTTCGATCGAACTCTATTACGGCGGGTCGAGCATGAGTAGATGCGATAGTGGTATCGCCATCTATACTTAGTAAGCAGAATCAAATAACATCTAAGGGATATCCACTATGGTTTGCGTTCGCGCCTAGACTTTGATATATTTAGTGGATGTTCATGGGATATTGAATACACCTTAAAAAAATTAATTTTAAATATCTGAACGGTACTATTAGCCACAATGGCGAGCACAATGGCGTAATTTTTTAATAATTTGCTATATAATTACTATTATTTATGGACATTTGCAAGTCTATAAATTACATTTCATGGATATAAAATAGATATCTACCATGGACTGGACATTCAGTGGATATTGGGATGTTCAGTAGATATCCAAAGGATTTGGTGTGCTGTCTGGGCGTATTATTTAAACATGGTGTTCTGTTAAGAATGGGACATAGAACAACTGACGATTCTCTGATTAAAAATAAGACCATTAAACGAAGCATGCTCAGATAAAATGTTTCTCGTTTCCGAAATATTTTAATTTTATTTTGATATTTTTTAAATAAATAATGTACTCTTCTTGGAAATTTAATAAAAAAAATCGAAATTTAAAAATTTGAGTATTTCAAAATATATTAAAATAATGAGTATCCACTTTCGAGTGCGAATATCTCAAAAACTAACTCAAATTTATTTGAAAAACATCAAAAGTTTTTGGGCAATTGACTAAAATTTTGCCGTACGCCACTGGCAAAGCTTACTTAACTGATTTTTTGCTGATAGGTGTATTTTATTACACCAATAACGTTTGTCGAATTTAGTGTAATTAAACTGAGAAAAAAAATGTAGGCATTCATAATTTTTGATTTTCAACTGCAACACCCTGTATTTAGGAAACGAGTAATCTTTTAATCGTTTAATAGGCTTATTTCTAAATGTATACCGAAAGGTTTCACAGCCAAAGAACCAAATAAAAACAGAAAAATGTAATAAAAAAAGTGTTTTTCTACGATCACTATCCAAAGTGGCTTTTGCGCTTCGAAATTCAACCGCAAACTTGACGTTTTCCGCGAACTGACATTCAGTAACAACTTTGTCGCTAATTTAAATTAGATATAATATAATAATATTGCTTTTTAATAAATAATTTTGAAGTTATTTTTACCTAGTTTGATGTTTTTTCTTTTATTATCCAAGTTAACATTGGCTTTAAATAAAAACTTCTTTTTTCATAAATAACTTAGAGATAGGCAACACATTATACACTATTTCTGACAAATTTTCAGTTTTTATATCTATTTATTAAAATAATGTGATCGTAGAAAAATCTTGCGTGCATTTCGCTGCCGCTTTCGACAAATTGCTGCGCTCCTCTACGCGTCACGCGGCAACTTTTTGTCTCAAGCGGTAAAGTATCACTTTTCATTCTTAATACACAATACTTTATTAAGATCTGCATCAGTTAAAATTATTTTCAAAAAATTTAATCTCATTTATATGTACAGTGTATCTACGTAAGTTGGCGACATATTATGGAAACTTTTTTATTAATTTTAGGAAATAACATATTCGCTCCGTGCGAAGTCATGGAAAGGGAAGCAAAAGCGATACTAGCGCTAGCTGCGGATAATTCGTGCATTTTAGGGCGATATTTTGTAATTTTGGCATATCAAAACACGTATACATTTTACTTTTTTTCAAAAAAAGTAGGTAAAAACAATACAATAAGCAACCGAAGTTGCTGTGTTGAAAATTGAACAAATACTAGCCAAAGAAACAGTGAAACTTATATAAAAAATTTCAGTAGCAAAGTGGAAATTAAATCAAAGACATAAATGGATAGATATACAATAAGAAGAAAAATTACCTTTATTTTTGTAATAATAACCGTAATGCTGCAAATAGTAGACATCAGAAACTTGAAAGGTTTTAAATCAACAATAAATTATCATTTTACCATGTTCTTTAATATCCCTTATTCTTAAATGTTCATTCAGCAAGGACTAGATTTCAAGATTTCTGCCTTTGATTATATGTGGTTGGAATGCAATTTTGTAACTTACTGATGGGAAATCAGTTTTAATCATTCATTCTATGTTTTCTTTCGAACAAAAATGAAAATATAAGTATTGATCCTTTTTTTATACATTTTAACTTCACGCTATTATTAAATGGTATTTTTTTATTTTGACAGATTAGAGTAATTCTTCAATGAAAACTTATTAGACTTAGGCAACTTCTCATACATTTTCCAGTAAATACTGTTGCCTGCCTATATTTTATTATTGATTTTTATCGATTATACATAATTTTCTTTAATTTAAGCGATAGAAATATATAATAATAATAAATTAATGTTTTACTTGTTTTACAAATCCATATACTTTTATTAAAACTACCATATATACTTTTTAATTACGAGTTCTATTAAAAGTTGCATTTGTCAGTGTACGCAGAAATAGTCCATTAGTATCAAAACGAATTGGCGCTGCTGTCGCGCACGGAGCGAATAGATGAAGCGGTGCGCAGGTTTTATGACGTCAACATCGGTATTGTCACGGCCGCCTACAAACTGCCATGGCTTTGTTTACATTTTGTAATGATTGTCAAGATGTTACTCTTTTATTTCCTAGTTCTATAATCATTGTAAAACTGAAAATATATATTTAGATGAAAATAACAACTGATAAATCACAATAATACAAGAAAATGCAGAGAAGACTCACTATAGGTAGATATTTGACCCTTGTGCAAAGAAATTCGAAATAAAAAATATTTTGTGCTCTTTTAGCTTAATATATTGTAAGTTAATCAGCTGATATGCATTTTTCTTGAGGATAAATAAGATATAGTGTTCATCTGAAACTGAATTCTTCCACCACAAAACATGAGGATGTTAGGTACCTACGTCTAGTATTTAAATCTTCTACCTAGCATCACTATCTGCTAGATTGAGATCAAGATGATAGCTGAAACGTCTAGGACCTAATCTTTCATGGACATCTCCATTAAAAAGTTTCAATGTCTCAGTCCCGATAAAAATTGGAATAGATAAGCCTATATAGGTAAAAATAAGTAGATTTAAATGTTGTGAAAATGAAATGTGATTCAATTACCGAAAAAACAGTATATAGATAGGTAAATAAAATTTTGTAAAATGTTAACAAAGACAGGACCATAAAATTAAATGATATTTTTTTAGTTGTGGATTTTCTTAAATAATCAGCTTGAAGTGTCTGAATAGTAGTCACTTTTATAGGATAATTATGAATGTATTACCTACACAATTCGTACGGTTGTGTGCTGATAAACCTGTTTATGTATTTAATAAATAGAAACACTTGACATAACATATTTTATTTTAATAAAAAGCACAGAGGTGTTTATTTGGAATTGGTTTATTCATGTTTAATAATGTTTATAAATTGATGATACATAAGGTTTACTTTTTTATCTTGCTTGATACATTATAATCTACCTATATTTATTTGGCTCATGGAGTTGTTCTAGGTGTGACGGATTTTTCTGTTGCACTCCTGCAGGTGCAAATCTATATTTGATTTGGTGTATTTTTAGTTATTTCTTTTAGTTCTTCACGAAGACTTTCAATAGTTTTCTTTAAAATGACAATTTCATTTTGGTGGTCACATCTGAAACAATTATAGAGTTAATATAATGAATTAAACATTTCTATTTAATTTCTTGTAATATTCATTAGTTCTACATGCTAAGTTATGTAATTTTCATTTCAAAGCCACAGGTACCATATACAATTTTCACATTAGGAATATTTTTTGTTAATAGGGTAAATTCGTACTTACGTTTCTAGTTTTGGATGAACTGAAATATTAACAGAGCTATCAATAAAGGTTTGTCGATATCTTTTTGTCTGCCTTATTAATTTATCGTCGCATTTTGCAGACAATTGTGTTTTTTTTTTAAACTCTGAGACTTTTAGTAGAAATTGCTGTTGGTTTTAAATTTCTGCCAGTTTTAGGTGAGTAGTTTAATAGCCTCTGTTGTAAGGGTATTTCAAAACTATCCTTTGAAAAATGTGAAGACAAATACAAGCTTAAAAAAGAAACAAAACGTCACATACAAAAATGATTATAATTCAATTTGGTTTTGCAAAAACCATACCATTCCTCGGGTTATTTGTATCTTTCCTCCTGCATTGATCTATGCTTTAAGTACGTCTGTTTTCGAAAACCAAAATATGCAAAATAGTTATTGCTTGTTCCCTTTGGTTTTTTTTCGCGAATAGTTCTTGTAGCCATACACTGCACAACCTGGCTAAAATAGTAGATTTTAATGTAGGTAACAATATACTAATAGTATAATTAGAAACTATTTTTTTTATTTTTAAAATACAGTAAACATAACCTAACTTTATATCAATTACACTGTCAATTTAATTAGAAATTAATTGAATAATACCTGCCAATAATTACTAAAAAGACATCTTGATATATAGAAATAATATTAAATTTTAAGATAAATAAATAAATAAATCAATAAAGGTATAAGCACTATCAGAAAAATATTAAAGTACCATAAAACTCGCTTTTTAATATTGAAGACATTTCGTACCGCTTACCGCTTCACCTGTATTTTTCCACCATGGAAATAACCTATTTTTCATAAACAGTTGCACGGTCTAAAACCTAAAACATGATCATCTTATATAAAAGTATTCGCTCAGTGCGAAGTCATGGTAGATGAAGCAAAAGCGATACTAGCGCTAGCTGCGGATAATTCGCGCATTTTAGGGCGATATTTTGTAATTTTCGCATATCAAATACACGTATACATTTTACTTTTTTTGCTTAAAAGTAGGTAAAAACAATACAATAAGCAACCGGAGTTGCTGTGTTGAATACTGTAAAAATACTAACAAAAAAAAAAACAGTGTAAATTATAAAAATTTTCAGTAGCAAAGTGCAAATTAAATCAAAGAAATAAATAAATAGATAAATGTACAATAAGAAGAAAATTTACCTTTATTTTTGTAATAATAACCGTAATACTGGAAGTAGTAGACATCATAAACTTGAAAGGTTTTAAATAAACAATAAATTATCATTTTACGATGTTCTTCAACATCCTTTTAATCTTAAATGTTCATCAAGGACTAGATTTCTGCCTTTGATTATTATATGTGGCCGGAATGAAATTTTGTGACTTACTGATAGGAAACCAGTTTTAATCATTCCTTCTATGTTTTCTTTCGAACACAAATAATAAATAACAATCCTTCTTTTTATACATTTTAACTTCACGCTATTATTTATTGATATTTTTTTTTATTTTGGCAGAATAGGTTAAATCTCCAAAGATAACTTATTAGACTTAAAAGGTAGTTCACTAGTAAAACGGCTTTTCTTAAGAATTCAATAAAATTAAAATATAAGGTTAATGAAAGTGTCTTTTATGTAACAAAAAAAAAATTAAATTTTTTGACCGTCTGTGAAACGAGATATTAACAATCAAAATGTGCATAATTAACACTCTTGAAGCCTCTCATGTACACAAGTAATGCATTTATTTCAAGATATCTCGAAAACGGTTCTTACCATATTTTTTAAAAACTAATGTTAAATAAATCAAGAAGTTATAAAATTTTATAAAAAATCGCTGAATTTTTTGACCGTCTTAGTAAAAAGATAGAGATTTTTAAAATAAAAGTATTTTTAAAGCAGTTGACGAGTATTTTCGTAAAATTATTACAACTTGGCAACATTGTAACCACTTCACGTAACAAAGCAACACTCGATCTGCTAGGAGGTTGTTATAAACTCGCGACGTGTTCTTGAAAAACTAATTCGTCCACTGTGTTTGAGAACTGGAATCAGCGGTTCTGTTTGAACCAAAACAAACCCTTAAAATTAGTATGAGGAAGTCACAAATTTCTATGCCATACCGTTCATATATTTGCGAGGTTGCCGAATGAATTTTATTAAAATTATAACATGTCCATACGTGTTTATATACATGTGTTTTGTACAGTCTCTTACAAAAATAAAATTGATTATCATTGAGAATCTTAAACTTTTGGTATTCACCATTATGGGATATTTTTATGTACGACTGTCGCGAGTGAACTACCTTAAGCAACTTCTCATACATTTTCCCGTAAATACTGTTGCCTGGCTAGATTTTATTATTGATTTTCATTTCTGCCGTGGAATATACCATGGTTAATTTATGTATAAAGCGTTAAAAGGTATTTTAACAACAAAGTTTGGTCGAATCAATCGCAAACTATGTACTAAATTTCTATTTTTAACAAGTTCGAGGCATTCCCTTCTTATCTTCCTTCAAGAAACAACTTTTTTGCCACAAAAGACGCTCCAATCGCTATTTTCAACACCAAAATGATAAACACACCATGGGCGTAGTAAAGAAAAGCATTTACTTATTTCTTCTGAAAGTAGTACAAACTAATCTGATGTACCTATTAAAGTCTACTCAATAAATCTCCAAAACTACTGAACTGTGAAGTACATGAATTTTACATCATTATAAAGGGAATTGAAAGACCTTTCAAATGATGAATTTGACCTCCTTTCTATTTAAAATTTTAGGAATGGTGCCACCCTCGCCTAGGGGGCTGCACGTGTTAACGTGTTTTTTTTTAATTTTGTGTCCCCCTCGAAAACAAAATCGACGGGTCTGAGCGTTTTTACAAAAAAGAACTGAGCAGCCAGTAAATGTCTCTGTTTCGATGCGCCATCTTGTATATTCGTGACAATCTATGCAGAAAAGACTTTTACTGAAAGATAAATCTGTTTTGTTGGTAAAAAAAACTATTTTTTGTTTTCACAATAATTTTTTTGAAAGATAAATCTGTTTTTGTTGGTAGAAAAACTATTTTTGTTATCACAATAATTTTTTATAAAAGCAATTAATTTTTTTATGAAATTAGAAAATGGTAAAGGCCCTAAAATGAATTATCATAATTTAGGTAGGTTTACAATGATTTCAAAATTGTTTAAAATACTGACATAAGATACTAAGCTAACGAATAGTGGTGATAGACCTGGATTATTTTATACAGAGTGTTTTGAAACAAGTCTTAAATATTGCCAATTTCAAATTAAATTTACTCAATTTTTTTAAATGCAGCACCCTGTATATTATTTTAGCATACAATTCCTTATAAATTTTCCTATTTAAAAATACCAACATGTTAGCCAATAACACATGAGTGTGTAATTGATAGATATCAGTTTTATTATAGGAAATACAAAAAAAAAATAATATAAAAGTTGTATGACCATATTTAACAATTATTCTTAAATATAAAGGGTAATAGAAATATTTTGGCAGGATACTTAAAAAAATATGTAGAATAAAATCTTTTACTTTTTAGCTCTGGATTTAAAATACTTTTTATGATTTTTTTTTAAACAGGACAAATAAAAAATAGGAGATTTCATTCTCCAAACCTTATACTTTAAGCCGGCAGAACATTTATTTTAATACATTTAGCGGAATTTAAATGTAATCGAAAATGGTGAACCCCTGCTTCTTACAGGAAAAGTACAGTGCGTTATAAAATATGGCAAAAAAACGTTACCACACGCTCTCGCAACTAGCACATACCCCGATGTGACGGGACTGCGATTGCTTAATGCGTTCCCTCCTTTAGGGATCTTCCTCGATAATTTGGCATTTTCCATATGAGGGTCAGTAAGATTTTAAAATATTATGGCTACAGAAGTTTTAAACGGACCAATGCCAACGAAAGGTTTCCCGTCGACCAAAATTTTAGAGTGGAGTTTGTGAAAGAGTGGTTAAAATTGCAAACGCCGATGAAAATTTTGTAAGCAACATTCTTTTCACCGACGGGTCATCATTTCTTATAGGTACACCAAAGAAGTTTGTGGAGTACTGAAATTTGTGCTATGATCGCACCTTCCATCCACAAGTTACTCTTCTTAAGCTTTTCATGTTTAAATATAACTAAGCGTCTCAACTTTATTTTGCTTGATGCGTTGATTAACGTACTGTATAATTAAGCGTCTCATCTTTATTTTGTCTAATGCGTTAGTTAACGTTATGATATAAAAGTAAACCCAGAAATTTTACCATTTGTCCACAACTTTTGCTTCTAGCTTATTGTCATACGTTATTTTTATATTTGTAGGTAAGTTTCGACGATGCAGTTATTTTCTGCAAGGACAATAATCTACAATTGGTAGCTATAGAAAATGAGATTGAAAATACCAATCTATACAATCATTTGGACAGTCTGGGTAGTAAGTAACTATTTAGTCAGATATTTCAAAATGTTAGGCATGTCAAAATATATTTGAATTTAAAGTACAAGTACCGTCGTATGAAACGAATTTTAACCATTTTTGTATATATATATATATATATATATATATATATATATATATATATATATATATATATATCCAACGGTCAGTTCCGGGACATTTTTTATTCGTCTTATATATAGGTTAAATCGGTCATATATAAAATGCACTTTCAAATGTTATTCGAAATTTTCAAAAATATTCACGCATTCTCATTAAATTTCGATTTTTTGATTAACCATGCAGTTCCAGGACATTTCAATATAAATATACTACAGATCATATACATTCACATAAATCTGATTATTTGAATCATATATAACGTCGTCTTTCATGAATTGGATCAAAATTCGAGATATATGTTGTTTATTTCCATTTTTGAATGGTAGCTTGAAAATTGAGAAACATAGTAATGATTTATTAACAGCAACATTGCTTTATATATAGGTTAAATCGGCCATATATAGGATGTACTCTCGAATGGTAATCGAAATTTTAAAAAATATTTACGCATTTTCATTACATTTGGAATATTTGATTAACCATGCAGTTCCAGGACATTTTGATATAAATACACAGAATATCATATACATTCACATAAATCTGTTTACTTGAATCATATATAACGTCGTCTTGCATTAATTGGATCAAATTTCGAGATATGTTGTTTTTTCCATTTCTGAATGATCACTTGAAGATTGACAAACATAGTAATGATTTGTTAACAGCAAGATTATCTTATATATTGGTTAAATTGGCCATATATAAGATGAACTTCTGAATGGTAATCAAAAATTTAAAAAATAATCGCGCATTCTCGATAGGTTTCGATTATTCGATTAACCATACAGTTCCAGGACATTTCGATATAAATAAACATTGGTTCATATACATTCACATAAATCTGATTATTTAAGTCATTCATATTGTCGTCTTTCATACATTGAATCAAAATTTGAGATATGTAGTTTATTTCCATTTCTGAATAATCACTTGAAGATTGACAAACATAGTAATGATTAGTTAACAGCAACATTATCTTATATATTGGTTGAATCGGCTATATATAAGATGCACTTCCGAACAGTAATCGAAAATTTCAAAAGTAGGCACGCATTCTCGATAGGTTTCGATTATTTGATTAACCATGCAGTTCCAGGACATTTCGATATAAATACAGAGTAGATCATAAACATTTACATAAATCTCATTAATTGAATCATATATAACGTCGTCTTGCATTAATTGGATAAAATTTTGAGATATGTTGTTTTTTTAGATTTCTGAATGATCACTTGAAGATTGACAAATATAGTAATGATTTGTAAACAGCACGATTATCTTATATATAGGTTAAATTGGCCATATATAAGATGAACTTCTGAATGGTAATCAAAAATTTTAAAAATAATCGCGCATTCTCGATAGGTTTCGATTATTCGAATAACCATACAGTTCCAGGACATTTCTATATAAATACACAGTGGTTCATACACATTCCCATAAATCTAATTATTTAAGTCATTCATATTGTCGTCTTTCATACATTGGATCCAAATTTAAGATATGTAGTTTATTTGCATTTCTGAATATTCACTTGAAGATTGACAAACATAGTAATGATTAATTAACAGCAATATTGTCTTATATATAGGTTAAATCGGCTATATATAAGATGCACTTCCGAATGGTAATCGAAAATTTCAAAAATAGGCACGCATTCTCGATAGGATTCATTTATTTGATTAACCATGCAGTTCCAGGACATTTCAATATAAATATACTACAGATCATATACATTCACATAAATCTGATTATTTGAATCATATATAATGTCGTCTTTCATGAATTGGATCAAAATTCGAGATATATGTTGTTTATTTCCATTTTTGAATGGTAGCTTGAAAATTGATAAACATAGTAATGATTTATTAACAGCAACATTGCTTTATATATAGGTTAAATCGGCCATATATAGGATGTACTCTCGAATGGTAATCGAAATTTTAAAAAATATTTACGCATTTTCATTACATTTGGAATATTTGATTAACCATGCAGATCCAGGACATTTTGATATAAATACACAGAATATCATATACATTCACTTAAATCTGATTACTTGAATCATATATAACGTCGTCTTGCATTAATTGGATCAAATTTCGAGATATGTTGTTTTTTCCATTTTTGAATGATCACTTGAAGATTGACAAACATAGTAATGATTTGTTAACAGCAAGATTATCTTATATATTGGTTAAATTGGCCATATATAAGATGAACTTCTGAATGGTAATCAAAAATTTAAAAAATAATCGCGCATTCTCGATAGGTTTCGATTATTCGATTAACCATACAGTTCCAGGACATTTCGATATAAATAAACATTGGTTCATATACATTCACATAAATCTGATTATTTAAGTCATTCATATTGTCGTCTTTCATACATTGGATCAAAATTTGAGATATGTAGTTTATTTTCATTTCTGAATAATCACTTGAAGATTGACAAACATAGTAATGATTAGTTAACAGCAACATTATCTTATATATTGGTTGAATCGGCTATATATAAGATGCACTTCCGAACAGTAATCGAAAATTTCAAAAGTAGGCACGCATTTCTCGATAGGTTTCGATTATTTGATTAACCATGCATTTCCAGGACATTTCGATATAAATACAGAGTAGATCATATACATTCACATAAATCTCATTACTTGAATCATATATAACGTCGTCTTGCATTAATTGGATAACATTTTGAGATATGTTGTTTTTTTCGATTGCTGAATGATCACTTGAAGATTGACAAATATAGTAATGATTTGTAAACAGCACGATTATCTTATATATAGGTTAAATTGGCCATATATAAGATTAACTTCTGAATGGTAATCAAAAATTTAAAAAATAATCGCGCATTCTCGATAGGTTTCGATTATTCGAATAACCATACAGTTCCAGGACATTTCTATATAAATACACAGTGGTTCATACACATTCACATAAATCTAATTATTTAAGTCATTCATATTGTCGTCTTTCATACATTGGATCCAAATTTAAGATATGTAGTTTATTTGCATTTCTGAATATTCACTTGAAGATTGACAAACATAGTAATGATTAATTAACAGCAATATTGTCTTATATATAGGTTAAATCGGCTATATATAAGATGCACTTCCGAATGGTAATCGAAAATTTCAAAAATAGGCACGCATTCTCGATAGGATTCATTTATTTGATTAACCATGCAGTTCCAGGACATTTCAATATAAATATACTACAGATCATATACATTCACATAAATCTGATTATTTGAATCATATATAATGTCGTCTTTCATGAATTGGATCAAAATTCGAGATATATGTTGTTTATTTCCATTTTTGAATGGTAGCTTGAAAATTGATAAACATAGTAATGATTTATTAACAGCAACATTGCTTTATATATAGGTTAAATCGGCCATATATAGGATGTACTCTCGAATGGTAATCGAAATTTTAAAAAATATTTACGCATTTTCATTACATTTGGAATATTTGATTAACCATGCAGTTCCAGGACATTTTGATATAAATACACAGAATATCATATACATTCACATAAATCTGATTACTTGAATCATATATAACGTCGTCTTGCATTAATTGGATCAAATTTCGAGATATGTTGTTTTTTCCATTTTTGAATGATCACTTGAAGATTGACAAACATAGTAATGATTAATTAACAGCAATATTGTCTTATATATAGGTTAAATCGGCTATATATAAGATGCACTTCCGAATGGTAATCGAAAATTTCAAAAATAGGCACGCATTCTCCATAGGATTCATTTATTTGATTAACCATGCAGTTCCAGGACATTTCAATATAAATATACTACAGATCATATACATTCACATAAATCTGATTATTTGAATCATATATAATGTCGTCTTTCATGAATTGGATCAAAATTCGAGATATATGTTGTTTATTTCCATTTTTGAATGGTAGCTTGAAAATTGATAAACATAGTAATGATTTATTAACAGCAACATTGCTTTATATATAGGTTAAATCGGCCATATATAGGATGTACTCTCGAATGGTAATCGAAATTTTAAAAAATATTTACGCATTTTCATTACATTTGGAATATTTGATTAACCATGCAGTTCCAGGACATTTTGATATAAATACACAGAATATCATATACATTCACATAAATCTGATTACTTGAATCATATATAACGTCGTCTTGCATTAATTGGATCAAATTTCGAGATATGTTGTTTTTTCCATTTTTGAATGATCACTTGAAGATTGACAAACATAGTAATGATTTGTTAACAGCAAGATTATCTTATATATTGGTTAAATTGGCCATATATAAGATGAACTTCTGAATGGTAATCAAAAATTTAAAAAATAATCGCGCATTCTCGATAGGTTTCGATTATTCGATTAACCATACAGTTCCAGGACATTTCGATATAAATAAACATTGGTTCATATACATTCACATAAATCTGATTATTTAAGTCATTCATATTGTCGTCTTTCATACATTGGATCAAAATTTGAGATATGTAGTTTATTTTCATTTCTGAATAATCACTTGAAGATTGACAAACATAGTAATGATTAGTTAACAGCAACATTATCTTATATATTGGTTGAATCGGCTATATATAAGATGCACTTCCGAACAGTAATCGAAAATTTCAAAAGTAGGCACGCATTTCTCGATAGGTTTCGATTATTTGATTAACCATGCATTTCCAGGACATTTCGATATAAATACAGAGTAGATCATATACATTCACATAAATCTCATTACTTGAATCATATATAACGTCGTCTTGCATTAATTGGATAACATTTTGAGATATGTTGTTTTTTTCGATTGCTGAATGATCACTTGAAGATTGACA